TGCCATTGTCATGGGAGAATGGGCCCAATCCGAGCCGATTATTCGTGTTAGCACGATAAGACCCGCGCTTTTGACCCGTTTCACCACTTTGGGCTGGCCCCACGTTGTCGTCGTCTTGACCCTTTTACGCCTTTTCCTCTTTACGGCTAGCCAGTTACGTGGAGCCAGATGGATCGCCAGGGAAAATCGACCGCGCACCAAGTCCAAACTCTCAGCGCGGGAGATGGAGTCGACTCAGGGGATTCCACGACTGTTCGACAGCGTCAGACCCGGGAGGGCCAGCAATCCGGGCAAGCCAGACCCAGGGCGCCGGCTGTGAAACCCTAAGCGAAATGAGCTTCCGCCGCCACGGGGCACACGTCCAGCGAATCCCATCCATCAGAGCACCATTTCACTCCAACACAACGCCCATTTTGGCACTTCACTTCCACATGTTTGGCCCTTTTCTGACAGCCGCCCACATTCCTCGCCCATTCTGTCCCGTTACTTCCCTGCCGCCACGACAAAGAGCCGATGAGGCCAGCGGCCAGCCCTCCGGATCATCCAAAGCTTGTTAATCGAGCAGGATTTCGTCCTCTTCCAGCCCAGGGCAGGACGTGCCGGGATGCGACAGCCAGGGCTACACTGCGCCACGCCGAAGCTAGAGCCTCGGAATGTCACCCGGCTCCATGACCCGGGACTGCCATGCCGGCCGCTGTCCTCCATCAGGGCAGTAAATACCGTTCTGGACGCTCAGATCATTCGAGCTCACTGGCAGTCTGCCAGGCTCACTGGCTCTTCAGAGGCTGAAGCCGACTTCCACAGCACGCGACTCAGAGCCCCGGCCCGCGCAAGGTCCGTCAATATCAGTACACGAGGCTTTGCACCTAAATAGTACGATTCATCACAACGTACGTAATCATTTCGGCACTGCCAACCGTCTAGCTCTGCTTCTTTGAGTGTTGTCAACCCCGCCCGATATCATTAAACGCCGGATAGTTGCACCCACGATCCGAACAGCCGACCTCGAGGGTCGCCCAGTGAGCGAACGCATTACTTTCATCCGATGTCAATCTTCATTAAGGTTGTGCTGTCTCATGCGCAAGAACAAGCGCAAAGAGGATCCGTACAGACTAATGTTTCCATAATTCTCACTTTACGGTCACTCTAGCTCCCTCATACTGGAGTCTGGCGCATTTCTACCCGACATGTGTCTTACGGAAGACCTGCAGGTTGCATGCTGCAAGCCACTCCAGCTTGCTTACATCAGCTCTGGGTATCTCTACGGTTTTCGTTTCAGTCAGGGTTGGTTTATTCCTGTTCATGTGCTTGTCCTCCCACATGTAACAGTGTTGGGTCAACTGCAGCTGTTGACATCTATTCAAGTCTGCTCCTGCAGGATTACATGCACCTTGGCAAATAATCCCGCCAATAAGTCGGACACACTTATCCGTCGATTGAGGTCAGCTCAAGGACGGCGGCGTGTCCATCCGCAGTCTGGTTTGCTTGCGACATCGAAACAGTCCCAAGCGTCCTCTAACGGCTCAACCGACAGCCATGACGGTTTAGTAGTTGACACCAAGGAGACTCGGCACGTCACGTAGCCGAATGATTATTTGCTTTGATTGGCAGACATGTTGTTAAGTGAACTGTACTGACTTGTTTTTTAGATGTGACAAGGCCTAGCCGATGCACCCTATAAGAACCGCGTGCCCGAGAAGCATTTCTCTAGGCAAGAAATAGACACTACCCAGCTCCTTGACATCAATCTTCCATAGGCGCCTCTCAGCATTGATACTCGACAGATGATTTCAGTTCTGAATCCTCAATGAAGTTGCCGAGATTGAGAACCGAGTTTGTTGATTCCTGCCTAATGTCTCCTCATTTTCATCGGTGGTACAGCCAAATGAATCAAATGATCGAGTGCAGATCGCCCGCAATCTCTACATTTTGTTTGAAACACTCTCATCTTGGAGGTAAGGTAGAGCGCGGCAACTTATTCCGATGTGAGACGTAGAGGAGAGCGGGCGCTCCATCTCACCCCATCCCGGCAGCCGTCCGTTCGGAAGAGGCCCAGTTTTCGGCATCACCAACTTCATCACCAACTTCATCACCAACTTCATCACCGGCGCGGCGAACTGAGGCTGCACTCTTTCATTTTCACATCAAAGCCCAGACGCTGTCGTTCAGCAAATGGGAAGAGACTTTTTGTGATCTCCTCAGACAGCCTTGCCAAGCACAGCCTCCGAAACGCCAACATCAGTTGCGATTATTGATGATCGGCAGCCAATGGCATCTGGCAACGCTTGATCTAAGACTTGTGGCGGCCTATCGATCGCCCGACGCCCTGCCACGATGACAATCTTCGATGCTGCCACACGTGACATGGCTGCCTTGGCACCAGCTTGAGCTGAAAGCGACGTCAATTCATGCAGATTGACCGTTGAAGTTATTCATACAAAATAAACCTTTCAAATCGTCTATAGTCAAATTCGCACACTGGCTTTTAGGCCCTGAAGCACTCAAGCAGCCAAGTTTGCATCATCATGAGCATTACTCCTTCATCACTCCCTCTCATCGCAGCCGCCCCAAGCTTTAGTGACTTTGACTATGGGGCCTTCTTCCAAGGTGAAGACATGTTACTCGGAGAGGTGAATACGCATTCGAGCGAGACACTCTCCGAGTCACCCACGACCAGGACCTCCGCTTCAGGGCCAAGCGGAGAAGGTTCGTCTCGCCACGGTCCCGCTCAGAAGCAGCGACTTGAGAGACGAGGGCATACCAAAAGTCGTAGAGGGTGCTTCAACTGCAAGAGAAGGCGTATCAAGGTGAGAAAGAAGTCTCATCGAGTTACCCTCGATGGTATACTGACGTTGTATATCAAAGTGCCAAGAGACACATCCATCATGTGGGCATTGTAACAAAATGGGCTTGAAGTGCGAGTATCCCAATGCTCCAATGATTGTACACCAAGTATGTCCATTACAATATATGTAATCCAAATGTGTTATCTAATGCACTGTAAACAGCCGCAGCATCAAGTGCCGCTGTTCAGTCTGCAAGATATGCGGTTCTTCCAACATTTCATGCTACAATGCTACCCTCACCACCCTATAGGTAACGAAAACATCTGGACCCATGAGATTCCGTGCTTGTCTCAAACCGTAAGTTCTATCGGCCGAATCAATAATAGACCTACTAAACTTATACAGAACGAATTCCTCATGCACGCAATCCTCGGAATGGCAGCCTGCGACCTTATGAACGCGGACCCGAGCCTCCTGGCATTCGCCATGGCGCACCGCGTCAAGGCCATAAAAGCCATCAAAAAGTCTCTCGCCGAACTGCCGAAGCAAACGGGCACGACGCCGGACCACGCCAACGCTCTGATCGCGACGTGCTTCGCGCTCACGTTCCAGTCTGTGACGTTTGAGGACGGCATGGCCGAGTACATGACCTTTATCCGCGGCATCCTGATCATCGGCACGCAGATGTACATCAATGGCATCAAGCCCATCTTTGTGAACTTGATGGGACAGGATTCGAGCGCGGTGCTGGAGCCCAAGATGGTGGATCTGCCGCTGATTCGGACCGAGTGGGCGGACGGTGCTGTCGAGGCGATTGGCGGGTTGAGAGGTCTCTGTCGGGATGGGGTGGAGGTTGAGTATTTTGAGCTTCTTTTGGATATGGCGACGAATCTGCATACTTCGTCCTGGAAGGGTACGTTGTTCTCCCAACATCACGGAATCCCCGGCCTATCCTCCCTTCTATGCTACTATAACCTGAATACTAACAAACGATTTCGCCCGAACAGCGTATCAGACACTTTCGAAGCACTACGGCTGGTGGATTCAGCTTCCGCACGAAAAGTTCCAGCGTGTCATCGATATGAACTCGCAGACGATGGTCCTCCTGGCCAGCCACTGGATCGCGCTGAAGCAGATCATGGCCACGGTAACCAACGCTGAGCACGAGTGTCGCGAGAAGGCGCCACCGAAGGAGAGCGCCGTGGATCTGGGTATCATTCGGTGGCTTGGGTACCTCAATAGGCAGGTCGACCATGAGCACTTGCTATACAATCGGTGGCCTTTGTGGGTGGAGGAGCAGCTCGAGCAGGACCTGACCTTTTTTGGGAAGAAGTTTTGAGGAAAGCTTTTGCTAGCGGAGGTTCATGTGCAACTGTCTTTTACGACGTCTTTATTCATTTTGAAATCTTTCCGACCTATCGAGAATTTTCAAGACTAGTCAATCTGCTGTCAAGATTGCAAATAAAAATGACCAGAGTGTTTGACAGACATCGCATCGTATCCGCAAGAGTGAACACGATACATCAAGTCCATCCCGTCCGACCATGTGACCATTCGATTGAGAACCTTATTCCTTTGGATCAATATCCACTTACGGATACTCACAGACGAACGCCCCAGATAGACAAGCATAACACACCCCCTGAGGAACGAACATGGTCGGCAGGAGAGAAGAGATCTTGCCGATCCTCATCAGCAGGGCAAACGATCTCGGTGAGTGCCGTTTACAGCCCCACTCGTCACCGCCCGCGCGGCACTGCCCCTCCCCCTCCCCCTCCAACCACAACCACAAGCGCACCGCCTCCGGTGGTGGCGTGCATGATTGGACGGTTTGGACAAAACGAGGAATACGACGGACCGGAGGTGGGGCCGTGCAAACCAATTGGCATCTGAGAGGATGACTGACGAGGGGCTTGTATGGACGACAAATTCGGGCTGAATAATGCCCAATTTGTTGTCGATTCTTGAAAAGGTACCAAGGAAGCAAGATATGCGAGGAATACGGTGAAAGAGCACACTAAGTGATGTGGGGGCGGGGGCGGCATTTGTTTCGAGGCATCTGAGCCTTCTTGAAAAGTGAAGCTTTCTTGGTCTTGGGGGCTGACAGACTGACTACCTTCACTCAACTTGGTCACCGCAGGTCTTATCTCGAGAGCTTGCTGCGCATCTTACGTCTCGACTTTGAGGATGTATTTGACGAATATTCATTGGTCAGAGAACCGTGAGGCGAAATGATGAAAGATTGAGTTTTTGAACTGGTGGAAAGTCCGCACAGAAAAGTCCGCCGTCGTCGCATTCCTCGCATTCGACGAATTTTGATGGCAGTGTCTTACTAGGCTTTTCTCGCAAGAGATTTTGTGAGTGCGCCTTCCGTCATATTGCACTGCATTGAAGGAAGTCTCGGGACGCATGAGGAGGATAAAGTCAAGGGGGTTCCTTCCTGGTCAGAAAACAAGACCTCGGGTGTTCCACATTGCCTTCCTCTTATTCGCGACGTCCCTAAAACATAACTATCTCGTCTTGCCTTCAAAATAGAGCCATCTCTCACACAAGTACCACATTCATATGAAGACTAGCATAGCTGTCTGGTTTCACCATGTCGACTACTATCGTTGCAGACGAACTGCACGCTGTGCCCAGTAATTCGTCGTTGCCCACATACTCCTCAGCAACAGGTATCGAGCTCGCAGATATCTCACCATCAACATCGTCCGATTCCAATCCAGCACCACCCGCCTACGATCAAACAACAACCGTCATCCCGCGAGACGCGGAAATCGTTCCCAGCAGTGATGGTGGCTCAGAACCCTCTCCCTCAGGAGACGCCTTCACTCCTACAGTGCACTTCCAGATCGAAACCACCGGAAAGCAATGGCTTTCGCTCCCCATTGGCACCCGGCCCGACCCAATCGCAATCTACCACGTCGAAGCGGGCTGCTGGAGCGCGGAATCCGTTCCGGCGTACGTCTCCCTCCGCTTCTCGCGCAATGACGGGAGCTGCCACCTCCTAAGGGGTGACGATACGTCTCAGACACCCATGTGCACGACACTCTACCGCTTCGGGCCGGGAAAGCCTCCCATCTTCCGACCGTCTCAGGCCCTTAAGCCGTTTCACGCACCCACGCCTCCAGCCTCTTCTGGTTCTTCTTCGACGGAGGTATCACTCCAAGAAGAGAATGGTAATCGCGAGCCGGATGTGGGCGCCGCAGACCTCCAAATCGTCTCCAAATCCCTCGCCTCCCGCACCCAGATCCTTAAGACGCCCCTGGGAACCTTCCAGTGGCGCTACGCCACGCGCAAAGAACGCGCCGCCGTGCCTGGCGACGATCAGCTACTCATCTGTGAGCTCGTGCAGACCATAGCACTGGCAGGCGGGAAGAAGACGGAGGAGAGCAAGACGAGGATTGCGCAGTTTGTTCGTGGCAAGGAGACGAGGACGCGGGGGACTGGGCGCACGACGGCGGGCAATGGGGGCAGGTTGATGCTCGATGTGATGAGGTGGGCTGACTCGAAGGACGGTGGGAGGGAGGCGGTGGAGGTGCTAGTTGTCGCGAGTTGTGTCTGCATGTTGAAGAAGGAGGTCGATCGGAGGAGGATGCAGCAGATGATGATACTTGCGGCTGGAGCTTCCGGAGGAGCGTAGTAGTGATCCCGAAGCCCTGTTCATCATCCTGTTTGGTGTCTGTCTTCTTTGTAGGGTAGATAATATCCCCGGAAAAATCACTAATGCTCCCCTTGGCCATTTTATTCCCAGATTGCGACCACACTCGGTTTTGTGGAGGATCACAGATGATACATAGAGTTAAGAGGGGCTGATATGGGGATCCAAAGTCCCGAGAATGAAGCGCGGTATGTTGCGATTGGCATCTGGGGAGATGCTGAGAAGGAAACTAATGAATACACTGGGAGAGAGAAAATGCAGGCTGCAAAAGGTAGAGTCGGTAGGATGGCTCGAACTCAGGACCCTCAAAAATAGATAGTCACCGGGGGTCGAAATCCTTTGTGTTTCCTTGCAAGTGATCAGTCGCAACTACTGCGCAAGAAGTCTCCTCATCCGATGGTGCTAGGAGAGGAGAATAATTCTCACATGTACCCAATGAAACCGGTGCCTGTTTCCTGAGTATACACTGGCGTCTGTGTATTCGCCGTTTCTGGGAAAGCCTGAGTGTACATCTACTGATCCTACGACCTTTTGAGAGCACGACTCACCTCGTCCGAGCCGAATACTTATCTGAATACCGGCTTTGAAGAACGAATGCTGACGTTCATTCCAATATTTGCTCCCGATTGCAAAGTCATCATCGATCTTAGTCTGGTCTTGCTCAACCTCTCCACCTATAGACGACTCCCTTGCCCCAACACATAACACGTTATTACCTGAGCTCCAAGGAGTCGATGGATCAATAGCAAGTTCAAAATCATAATCAATCGGGCAAGCAGACGAGCCGTGCAGGTCCGGCATGAAATCCAGAAGACCCACCACTTCGTATTGTGTCAGAATGGTTCCTTGCTCAGTGAGCCCATCTGTAGTCTTGTACAGCTCGACATGATCATGGGATGCGATGGTCTTCCTAGTAGATCAATGAACATGGGAGACCTGCCGATACCAGCCATCACTTGTGGCCACACAGTCCAAGAATTGCATTCAAGGCCAAATGACTGTACTTTAAACATGTTCCATTGATTCATTTGCCAGACGGGAATGAGTGGAATCCACAACTCAAAGACGTCTTAATATGAGTTCATGAATACAGGACTCTGTCAAACGCCCCCTATGCTTGCGAATGATCTTGCGAAGTGCGTCCACCTGCAGAAGATCGCCCATCCTAGGTAGCTGCAGTCCATTACAGCACATCTACTGAAATCCAGGGCCGGTGTTGAGGGCCTGATTTCTCGCCAATTACCTAGGCTACTTGGCCCACGCGCACTTACATCTGCTGGTAGGCCAGGCGACCTATGAGCGTGGTGGTCAAGTTCAATTCATGAGAAAGTCAGCATGAAAGTACACAAATCAAGACGAAGGAACAACTCTTTCGAGACGAACTGAGTAGTCTTTGCACAGCACATACCAGGCTTCCAGCGTCTATCAAAAGCAGCATGCCAGTAAAACTAGTCCTGGTAAGATAAAAGGCATGAGAGATCAGATCACGACGAAGGAGAGATAAGATCAGCTGTGTAGCGGCCGTGCCCGCTTTATCCCAGGTTGCCTAGGTATATTACGGCGCTCAGAAGCAGCACCTACTCACAGAGCTCCGACCAGAAGGGAGTCTTTGTTGCCAACCATAGCGGGTGACTTCTAGGTAACGACCATGGCTTGACAAAGGTCGCTTTGTCTGTAAGGTCTAGTCGCAGGTGCCAAATCAAACTTGGAAGTTTACTAAAGCTCGTTTTTACGTGGTTCTCTCGTTTAAGCTCCGTCATCGTCGTCTGTGTCGTGAAGACGAATACGAGAGGAACGAGGGCCCGTGGAGAACGCTCGTGGGGGTTCTTCCTTCTTCTTCATTGGGGCAGGATCAGTTGCGATCTCCGCGATTAGCGAGAAATTGGTGCAATGGGTGAGCTTGCTGATAAATTGTTAACAGCTTCTACACCTGGATTGACAAGCAACTTTCTATCGGATCCAGATTTGAGGAATCTACGTTATGGACCACGGGCATGTGACGATTTGTAGCTGAACGTCAGGACAGAGTGTTCATTTGGGTTCCGCTGCCCTAGTAGGTTATAGGAACTTACGGACAGGATTTTCACACAGACTCATGAGTTTGGCTTGTAAGCTGCCGGCATCTCCCATGCGGGACCATACATGGATATATTCCTGTTTGAGACGGAAAGAAAGACACGTAAACGTACTGGGAGACTCATGGAACATCCGGTTTTGCCTATTTACAAAAATCTCAATCTTAAGTAACACGGAGAAACTTACACTGAACTGTAGAGACAGAGGATCTCAATATATCAGAAGAAAGGGCATGTCTCCCGCCCATTGATACTTGGGTTGACACTGGAAGCTATTACATCCAGACCATGTCAGTAGCGCTAGTCACACCACCCCTGCACACCCAGGATGGTGACCCCGCACCGCCGCCCCAAACAACACAAAAAAACGAAGCTATCGTCACCCACCATGGCCCACCACATAGTAAAGATCAAAACATCAAAATGGTAGCAAAAACATACAACACCAGGTATTCGCTGGTCGTCACCGACCCAACTACTAATCCGGCCCTCATTGGCTTATCTATGGGAGAGCGGACGGGATCCCGAGTTTTCCAATGGGTATGGTCGTATGTGGTGGTTTGAGAAGCGCAAGATGACCAAGTACAGGGGAGAGAGGACACTCAGCACCTCCATCTCGACCCCCCATTCCCAAATAGACTCATTCCAGTGAGCATTGGCGTCAGATGGAAAGTGAGATGTTGAATCTGTCAGTTATTCTTATGAATCGTCTCAGTCCCGTTCACTTATCACCAGAACTCTCGTTGCCCCCTTCGGCCAGCCATCACGGTGTCCGACCAATGGATGATCAACTGCTACGGTATCGTAACGCCAGGGATGGAAGTTCAAGGCCATAATTAACTGTTGTTCAACTCCATACCTAGGCTCACTTTGAATTATGAGGTGTCTCTTGTGGCAGGAGAGGGTAACAACACTATTAGGTCTAAGTCGAGGAAGTAGGTACAAGTGCCTTACACCATAGCCTAACTATCCAGAAGCCTAGCTCTATATTCTTATGTCACCTCAGAGGTCTAGTGAGTATCAAATTTGAGCATAGCGGTCCTCCATATGTCTATATACGCCATTTTGTACCTGATATCGCACTCACGGCTGGAGTTCTTGGCATCACTGGAAGGAAGCGGCCCTCGTATCAAGAATACTCCGAGGCCTCCTACTTCACCTATTAGGCAGAAGGCATATGACGTGCGAATTCTAATCTCAGAGCCAGTACGCTAATCTTGTCTGACTTGTCAACGTTGAAATAATGGGGGAAAATACTGGCCCAGGCAACCGTGGAAGCCTGAGAAGAAGAAAGTTGCTAGCTGAGACAAGTCTGCAAATCGATCGCGGTCATGAGTCTTTGTATCTCCCATACCACAAACTTAAATCGACACTCCTACCACATCGCCTGCACCCTGCCTGTCTGCTTCAAGCAACCCGTTCAACATGACCACCGAGGTAAACACCCCAAGCCTACCATAACCACGCAATAATCTCAACCACAAGCTCAGCCATAACAACCATAGCGACCAAGTTTCCACGCTAATATTAATATTCTTGCAGTACATCTTCCTGTTCCAGTCACAAATCATTGCTGCACGTGGGAGACCTGTTTTTCTAAGAGAGGCTCCCTCCTTCTACGAAAACGTCCTCCAGCTTCAGCTACCGGACTGCATCGTCGACAAGGAAACCTTGCCCCAAAACGTGATTCTCAAGATTGAGTATCCGAAAGACAGGGACCTCTTCGATCCGCCAAAGACGACCCTCTTTGAAAACGAGACCCTCATCTACGACCGGCTTCAACCGCTGCAAGGGAGCGTCATACCGAGATACTTGGGCTTGGCGAGCATCGCGGGCAGGAGAGCGCACCTCTTGTCAGATATCGGCGGCATGTCTATGGCTGAAAAGGAACTCCTGCGAACTGACCCAGCGACCAACTTTGAGGAGATGGTTTCTGTTTCGCTTCGTCTCATACGTCAACACGATGTTCGGCTAGAGTATCTGGACCCGTCTAACGTCCACTTGTGCGGAGATGCGCTTTGCATCGTGGATCTCGAGCATGCTCAGTTGATTCCGTCAGACCTCTCCCACGAGGTGGAGGGAGAGGAGGAGGAGGAGGATCGCCTCCGGGAACAAGTACGACATTTCGTGGATACCATTCAGGCTCGACGAGATGGTGAGAAGAAGATGATAGAGATGCATAGGCATCCTCACTGGCGATTCAAATCTCCGAGAATGAAAAGGAAAGAGACGACTAAAGGAAAAAAAGGTGGATAAGTTGGAAGAGGTTGTTACCCTGGAAAAGCCTGCCGAGGGAAAAGAGGTGACTGGGGGCCAAGAGGTTGAGGTCGAAAGGCCCAATCTTCGGCGTGCATCAAGCTCCTCCTCGGACGTGATTGTAGATGACTACGATCAACCTCAAAGGGACCGCATGCCCTTTTTCCTCCTCCGGGCCTCATGGGGTTTCTCAATGACTTTGTCCCCTTTTCTCTAGGTAGTGTTATAAAGTGGGACAGGTCGTCGAGGTCAACAAGTGTACCCAAGTCGCGGTCGCGTACTCGGTTTCATAGGCCAAGTGCCAAAGTACCAGACACGGAAGTAGTTGTCCACCATCTATATAACCCCCCAAAGAAGCGAAGACCGACCGACGCAAACTTTCCCCCCGTATGCCGCAACATAGTTTGTGTTTCTGTGCGTCTGCATGCCTGGCATGGTGAACGCCCCCTTCGTGTCCTCCTGGCGTCTCGGAGGTCTCGTCTGGTCTCGTCATCGAATCGTATAAAACGTCTCACCGATAGGATACAAGTCCACATCTGGGAGGACGGCGATTTCTCCATCGGCCAAAGGTCACTGAAACTTGCGGAGGAAGATTCCATCTTTAGCCTCCCTCTCCCAGTCGTTTCGTACATGGTACTGGGCGTGGCGATGCCAACTGACCTCGTCACACAAGACAATATCCTCCCAGCCTTCCTCTCTCTTCCTTCGTATTCACCACAGAAGATACGCGCACAGAGACTGGACACGGTACCTAGGCATGGCCCGCTTCTGAAGACATGACAAACACCAAGTCCCAGAACTTCATATTCACCAAGATCGATCGATGCCGAACGCATGCCCCATCCACCTTGTCGTGGTTAGCCGTACTCGGCTCGCCACATCATACCTTCGTGCAACGTCGTGTGGGCTCAACACTGATGGCGTAGATGGCGTGGCTTATATATGTTCAACCAAAGACCAATAAGCCCACCCCCTCCCCTTCCGTCACGAGATACTACCTGCATGTGAATCCCAGACCTCTACGCCTCAGCACGCCTCATCGCCAAAAGCCAAACCTACACCAACAACTTACACACTCTTTCCACCCACACATCACGAAAGCAGCCAAACGCAAACATCCCATACTTCATCAGATCAGCAGGTCAGAAAAAGGTTGTATTGTTTGTATCCATCTCACCAAAGCCAGTCAGCGCGCAGCAAAGACGAAAGACGACACGCTCTCCTCACGACCAAAACACACGATCGTCTCAAGCCTAGAGTCTCGTCTCGCCCTCGCCACCTCTCCCAGCTTCGGCTACAGTCCACAAAACGTTTGTCCCCTTTTCCCCATGGTAGCTAGGAACGTCTACTCCTCAAGCCACGTTCCCAGAAACCGCCAACACAAAAACTCAAAATCAAAACTCCAGAGTTCCACTCATTCCAATCCCCTCCATATCGACACATGTGCGTCAAACATCACAAGATGACGCCCGGGAAAAAAGAAGACACCGTTGCATCTTTCCCTTTCCTCCGATCCCAACATTGGCAAACTTCCGAAATACGTAGAAAGCCAAGAGGTGAAGACAGAGAAAGAAAGGAAAGGACCGCAAATGTCGACTACATACATGAAAGTGAGAAAGAAACAAAGAGCTTCCTCAACTACAAGACGCGAAATCATCAGGGAAAAAAAGTCAAGCCAAATATTCCAGTCGGAAAGGAATCACTTGGCCCCCATCTCCCTCATATTCCCCTCCCCATTCCTTTTGTCTGCTCTCCACACCGTTGATCGTCTTTTCCGAGTCCATAATCCCTCGCTCAAGTCCTTCTTGTAGAACTACTAACGCCTAGACCGTCCTCTGCTGTTTGCCCCGTGATGAACGTGGCTGGCATGGAGAGAGGGAGATCATTTGTGGCGTGTTCGGCTACTTCGGAACCATTCGTCAAGATCAAAACAAAATCGTACTACGCGGTCGATGCTGATTTCGTAAAAGAAAAAGAAGGTCATTTCATGTCGTTAAAAGTCGTAAAGCTCGTCCAGAAAGGCCCCGGTGTCTCTATTGAACACCATGCTTCCTCCATTCCCCACAAGTCTGACGAACCATGGTCATAGTGTCCACGGTCGTGTCTTGCCAATTGCGAACTCCACCATTGAGGGACAGCAAACACTTCGCTTGCCCCTTTAGGTGAATCGCGTCAAACCCCTCCACCGGCTGGGCAGCTCGCGCTCCTGCGCAACGCCGTAGTTCTCCCCTTCGCAACCGAACCCACGGTTCTTAAACTGCTCGGGTCCGCACTGCATGGCCGCTGCGCCGTGGTTCGAGTTGGGCCTCAGACCCAGCGGCTCGGCTGCCTTGCGGGCGGTTCGGGAAGTCCAGGCACGAGCTGCCTCGCGGAAGGATCGCCTCGAGTCGTTAGAATCGATGCTACTGCGAGTGCTAGCCGCGTAGGAGGGATTCGGGGGCGTAAAGTCCGTGTCCATGGGCATGGGACCGAGAGAGGACGAGGGTTGGTGCTTGGCGAGCTTGTTGCTTGCGCGGTTCGAGTTACTAAACGACCGGCGGACAAAGACGGTACCCCCGCCGACAGCACGAGGAGGCGGGGGAGGAGGCATGTAGTTGGGAGGAGGCGGAGGCGGCATGTAATTGGGGGGCGGCATGTCTACCGAGGCAGACTGCGCGTGGGACCTTTGCTTGCGGAGGCCTGGGATCGAGAGGTCGACGGACATGCGAGAAGCAGACTTGCGCAGCTTCTTGGCTGCCGACATATCTTCATCATTATCCATCCCGCGTTTCCTGTTTCCGTCGCGCGAATCTGGCAGAGGCTGAACCTCCTCAGTCGGCGGGAGAGGCCACTGACCCGATACGCGCTCGGCAAAGGACTTCTTGTCCACAGGAGGTTTGGTCGAGTATGTGGTAGTCGAGGGGTTGAATGAGGGCGGAGGAGGCTGGCGGGTGGAGCGGATAGCATGCGCATCAAAGAAACCGTCCTTCATAAGTTGCTGGTAGCTGGCCATGATCTCTTCTCTGCTGGGCATGCCCGCGCCGTTCGCGAAATGTGCAGGCATCGCGGCGGCGGTCGGCGCGCCAATGGGACCCAGGCCGTTGCCGTTACCATTGCCGCTGCCGCTGCCGAAGCCTCCAGCCCCGCCTCCTTGAGCAAGGAGCTTGCCATCGAGGCTCAGTGGGCGCTTAGCCCCCTTATCCTTATCCCTGACGAAGCTCAGCTTCTCGCGGAGGCCGCCCCAGAAGCCTTTCTTTCCGACGTGGCTGCTAGCCGAGCTGGCGGGTCTCTTAACTTCGCCGTAGGTAATTGTCGGTTGGTGCAGAAGTGGCTGGGACTGCTGATGTAGCGGCTGGTGGTGTTGTTGGTGCCGAAGTCTCTCTGGGGAGAAGACCCCAGCGTCGGGCGCGTCGACGTAAAAGTCCATGTGGAAACGGCGCGCAATCTCAGTCGAATCCTCGGGGCCGAGGAAGTCGATTGGCGGCGCAGCCGAAGTACGGTCGTTCATTGAACCCTCGACGAAACGGGAATTGGCGCGCTGTACCGACGAGTTTGATCGTTTCGCCGCGGGCCGCTGGCCGTTGGATGTCGAATTGCTTGACGGAGGGCCCGTGATCGGGTGGGAGGTCAGCGGACCAGGCGCCGACGGGTCCTCCATTGTTGACATGGGCATTGTTTCGTTTGTGCTTTTTGGTCCAATGTTTCGTTCACAAAGGGGTGGGTCTGATTGAGTCTCTTGCTGTTTGGGTTTGATGGACGAAATCCGACTTTTTTTCGTCTGTCCTTCTTTACTTGAGGTTTGGTGAACCGGGGGAAAGACGTAATGGAAGCTGTCGTCAGACCCTGATGAGCGCAAAGGTGAGGGGAAAGTTTTGTCGGGTGATGCGATGCTGCGGCATCCGAAAGGGTTTTTGTTTACTTTTCTGTCGTTACACCTGCCACGCTCCGCACCCGCGCAGGCACGCGGCGCAACCTCTCTGTCGTCGCGGGCTTCTTCCCTGCACAGATGGCAGAGGAGAAGGCGCAATGAGGCGTGTTCAGGTTGATGAGAGTTTGAGTATCGTTGCAGTGTGGGGTGGGGATGGAAGAGTAAAAAAAAAATAAAAAAAAAAGTGCTGAAAAGGGGGAAGAGGAGGAAGATACAGCAAGGACGAAGTTTGGAAGAAAGTAAGGTAAGGTAAAGTAAGCTAACGGTATGCGCGAAGAGGTCACGAACCGTGATGGGCTTGGAGGCGTGTTGATCTCGTAGTACCAAACGTATTGGAAGGGCAACGGCAACCAACAATGGAGAGCCAGGGGTAGTGGGATTTTTGGGGGGGGGAAAGACCCGCAAATGGTCCAATGTCGGCCGGGGTTGTTGACCTCTGATGGCTGCTGTTTCCCGAACTAAGGGCCAGAATGGGCAACTGGGGGCCGCGAAAGGTGGAATCGGCCGTTGCTGCGTTGCTCGGGCAAACAAAACGCGCCCACAATTATTCCATTCGTCCCTGGACGCGCAAGATGCGACCCCACTTGGCGCGTTGCCCTTCACCGGGCCATCCTCGCCATTCTCACCTTAAAAACTGGCCAAGAGGAGCATTGGCCACGTGACGCTTGGACCTGGTGCTCCTTCCCTTACATCCAGGGCACAAGGACCACCACCTCTCTCCCTCTCTCTCGTGATCTCATCTCATCCCTCTTCTCACCTCGCATTAGCTTGTTGTCTATTTACGTCCGCTGGGTGCTGTCAATCTAGCTTGATCGTGGCACGCACGCACGTAGCACGCTACACCTCACATTTTCCAAGCATCTGTTCACTCAAGCTACCTTAGTACAGATCTCATCCATCTCACGCTACTCGGACATTGAGATCGACAAAGCTGAGGAAATCCGGCGTTGACGCAAGCACGTCGCAGTAACACCTCACAGACGTACGAGATAGTTACTTCGTACGGCTCATCTTGCAAACGAGCCATCATACACATCTCACATCCAGAGCCTCGCCTCACTTATCAAGGTTACGAGAGAGCATAGGCAAAGTGGCTTTTAGCGTTGGAACCTTTTCCATTTTCCTATACAAAAAATTTAAACCAACTGTCCCCATTGCTCATGGAGCGCAGTGGACAAGCCACTGTCAATCCATGCGATACTCCGGCCCAACAAGACACAAGGAAACAACAACAACAACAACAACAAAGGCAAGACCAATGACACATTACAGCTCACTCAGATGTGCCTGTCTTCGTGAACACCGAAAAGTCGTTTCGTTTTCAATTCCAGTCTGAATCATGATCAAGTAAGACATGGTAGGAAAGTAAAAGATGATCGCTGATGGCCAAGCAAAACGGCCATCAAGATCGTAGAGAGTGTGTTGAGTGTTGGGAGGAACATAGGGGAAGAAATTTGGTTTCCGAGGGGTGCCGTAAATGGTGAGTGACTCCCAGTTGGTATATACAATTCGAAAAGTTGTCTCCGATCCGTTGAAACGCCCCATTGCCCAAGAACGCTTGGATGCAAATTACCACCGCCCTTAATACGAAGCCGCCGAAACGCCGTTAAGCAAGTGCACCGGAACCTCATTGCGGGTTGACAATCTTGTAGTAATCGTTTGCCGGCTTCACGCCAAATGTGCCATCGGCACGCTTATACTCTAGAGGGTCTTGCACAACGTAGCGGTGATTGTAGTGAGCGCTGTTATGGTGGGGATCTTGCGGGCGTTGCCTGTCGTACAGGGGACGCTGGCTGTCGATGAAGGTATCTCCGTAGCCACGCTTGGTGCCTGCGCGGGCTGGCTCGTAAACGGGGTTGTGAGAGCTAGGAGGAGCGGCCTCAATGAACTCTGAGTGACCCGTCATGGGAGGAGCAGTGAGCTTCTCAATAGAGGGCAGCATAGGCGGGAGTTTGGTGCCCATGTGCGGAAGATCGGAAACGGGAGCAAGCTGGCGAGGAGGAAGAGAATCTCTCCTGTAGTCCGAATCGCGCCTGGTCATGTCGTGGTCCCTTGGTCCCGGACCGTACACAGAAGGAGAAGGGGGCACCATCATGGCAGACGGCCGTCTGTCGTACGAATCGCGAGGCGTGGGAGGCGGGTTGCTCGAGGCATACTGGGAGCTGGGTCTGCTCGAGTAGCCGTAGCTTGCGGGTTGGTAAGGCGAGGGCTGCTGGGACTGGTACGAGGCCGTGGTGGGAGAAATGGGCGGCGGCTGCGCTGAAGGTTGGGCGTATTGGTGAGGAGGGTAGGGCGCACTCGATGCATCAGATCCGAATCGCAGGTGAACATTGGTGGAGGGGGCTGGGCCGTATGACATGGGCGGCGGCGGCGGTGGTGGCGGCGCCTGGAAAGTCTCGGCTTTGAAGTTCTCAATGAGAGATGGTTTGCGTTCCGGAGCAGGCGGGTACGCGGCGCGGTGCTCACTGCTGTTACTCGTCGACCTCGCCCGATACTGTTCTGCATTGCTGCGAATCTCTGGCGTCTGTGTTCTCCTCGCCGTGCTCCTGAACTCGTTTTCGGGGTTGGTGTCGAACTCGTTTCCTGTGGGCTTTCCGTCGCGCCTTCGCATGCGAACGTCACGGCGAATACGCACGCGGCATCCCTGCTCGGAGATAGTCTTGCTCAGGTTGGTGCTCTCGGTGAGACCAGGGAACTTCTTTGCGCTGAAGACATTGAATGGCACCGACTTGACAGCCATTCTGTACTGGAAGCAGGGATTCTCGTCCTCATCATCCGCGTCGCCGCCCGGCTCCCGATCCTCCGCCCTCTTCACATCTTCGTACAGGTGGAAGGCTAAGACGTAGCGTCCTTCATGACGGACCGAAAGGTCGGGGAACAGGAAGTAACCTGCCTCTGTAGGTCTGTCGAGGTAAGCCATACCCGAAACCGGCATACCAGTCAGTACGGGAGGTGAAGTTGCCGCAGGAGTTTGAACGCGTCCATGAGCCATGGGGCGCGCGGGCGTCAGCTCAGCATAGAGGAAGAAGTTGGCCCGATAGTTGAAAGTGATGTCGGTAGCTTCGGCTCTGGTAGGTCCCTCGTAGACGTGCAACTGCACCACGGGGGGAGGATCGACGGGACGTCTGTCGGCGGCGGCTAAACGATGAAAGTCAGAGATGCTTCCATGACAAGCAGTAAAGAGACACTGAGGCTGTCTTACACTTCTGACCAGATCCGCATGCACGCGCACGCTCAGGTTGTTGCAGAACCTTCAACTCGTACCACATCCTCGTGCCGGATCGCGTCGGCCTGTCCTCATAACTCTCGGATTCTCCGATGTGGTCCAACTGGACGTGGCGGCTGATATCGACCGGCATGGTGAATGTTGTGGGATTGTCGTCGGGATTATTGTCGAGACTATACTTGGTATCAATCGATCCCAACGATCGATGGCCGTGCACAGGTCTGGTTGATGAATGTTAGAAAGCCGAGTTGCACTCAAGCGGCTGATGCAGGACAGAGGCCTCAGAAACGCCTGCGCCGTTCTCGATTCTGTGGTAGGGGGGATCCGGTGAGTTGGATAGTGCCCCGACAGAATGGAACGCAGGGCGCGAGGCCGTTTTCCTCCAAGCAGCAACCGATTCACGTACTTTCAGGCCAGTGACCAGGCAAAGGCGTTTCCAATAAGAACAGTTCCTTCTCGCTTCTTCGATTCCAATCACGAGATTGTAGAATGAGCGCTGGCTATATTCGACGACAACGACTGTGACGGTGAGGTTGTCTATAATTCCCAGACGGCTCGGAGACGGTTGGTGAACAAGAGAGAATGAGAGAGGAGGACGGGTGGGAATGGGGGTTTGATGAGGGAGACGGATGTGAGAGTGGGTCCACTTGGACCGAAAAGAGTGGGAAGCGAAGGAACGCAATTGGCTTTAGGGGGGTGTACGAGTGTCTGATGGCTGGGACCTGGGCTGGACCGGGACTAGCAGGACTGGGACAGAGGGGAGGGGAGAGCAGCAAGAGAAGGGGGGGGGGGAGAAGGAACAGTGTGAGATGTACATTCGGACAAGGGACCAGGGAGTAGGTAGATGAATGGGGACGGACTGGGGGGAGGGGGGGGGGTTGACTCTCGAGTTGGATGGGAGCACACCAAGGTCGAACGGCGGGCCATTATGGGCGAGGTGGGATCCATCGTTCCCTGGATGGGCGCCCAAATGGCAGAGCATGGAACAAGGGGAAGAGTCCCGCACTGGGTACCAAAGGCGCCATCTTTGGCACTTGGGTAGCGGAATCAAGGAAAGAGTACGGGAATCTATGAATACTGTGCATTCACATAAGTCTATTGGCACTGGGTGTGAGGGAGAGAGAGAGACCCAACGCCTCGGACTGGGGCCCAGCTGACTCGGCGGTAATTGGTAGAGACGAAATGACAATGACGGCCGCTCCAAGGCCCAAACTCAGAACCCTCCCCCAGCCCAGCCAGCCCAGTCTCCAGCCCAGCTTCCGCCTCTGAGATCACTCACGCCCCCAGTCAGTTCGTTCCCAGTCCACTGGACCCATCCGTCTTGCTGAATCAACTGTGCGTAATTGGTCAGAGTTCCTGTCCTGTCTTGGTGTCTTGCTTGGTTGACCACCCGCTGCTGCTTGCTTTATCCCATCCTACCCCAGTACGGTACGGGAGAGTTTGGCTACGACGGGAGGTTACTAAAGTCTGTACGGGTAGCCCTCCAGCAGTCCGGCTAACTGTAGAAATAGCAAACACCACCTATCTGAAAGCCTTCCTTCTCTTCCGGTGCGGTGGCGCTGACGGCGCTGATGCCAAGCCGAATGGGAATGCTCATGGCCCAGCAAAAGGTCCATCACTAAACCTTACAGCGCTGCCCGGGAACTCAGCCCTCCGTCGTTCCGTCCCTTGATGGTGAGGTTGAGCCAAGAATGACGGATGAGGGTGAGTGAGTGCCTCCTGAGTTCTCAGGACAAGGGACAAGCCAAGTTTGGAAAATAGAGCCATGGTTCGCACAGCGGCCCTTGCTTCGCTATGCATCCGTACGAATACTTGCCTTCTGGCATCTCGCCAGTGGCCGCTCACGCACTCACGCACTCCACGCTGCTCTGCGCGTCCGCCAATAACCCAGGCAAGACAGCGGGTGTGAGGTTGGTACAAGAAGGGGGAGGGGGGAGGGAACGTCTGCACCTTTTCCCCGGTGATACTGCGGGATTGTGAAGAAGCGAACCAGCCCAGATCCCAGCGTTCCGCCACCACATCTGCGCAGTCCGCCTTGTACCCAGTGTGAGATGGGCATAGAGGAGAATGGGAAGAATGGCATCTCAAGTCAGTACAGGGAGTACGACGGGGAGTACGAGGGCAGCAGGGACGGACGGGGAAATGGGGGGCGTGTATCGTCGACAGTGTGAGCCGGCCGCTAGACTCAGGTCTAATCCATATTCGTCGAGCACTTCGTCGTCCGCACATGGGTCGAGATATGTGCTAATGCTAGCGAAGCGCTGGCTTGGGTTCTTTTGCTGGCGTTTGCTCCTAGTTCGCTTCCAGAGACTGAGATCCCGCGGCGTCCTGTGTCACGGAACGAGAATGGACGATTCCAGTGGAAGAAGAAACTCCACGTTCGCAAAGCAATGGACAGTCTTCTTGTGCATCGTGCCGCTCTTTTCCTTCCATTCTCTCCCCAGTAGGCTTCCACTGGCATCGCGAATTCGACCTCCAAAGGGTCTCATCTCAATCCGAAATAAAGACGACACCTCAAAAGGTTGCCGCGCTTATTCCATCAGAGCTTGCTGCGGCTTGCGTGGTGCGTACCGGTGTCCATATTTCCGGATACTTTGCCTAGCTTACGGCAAGGTTTGGCTGATTACCAGTTGCTTCAACGAGAATGAGTGATCGTCACTGCCCATCTCTTCCGACCTTGTGGTTCATGTGCGTGCGTACCAGTTATTGGACTTGTCTCTCACTAGAGGCGACTGGTAAAGTTCTAGGGCCATCCCCGTGGCAGGGCAGAAGCAAAATCTTTGCTTTTGCCTCGGCCGTGCCGCCAGAAGTTCAGAACAGCCACCGAAAGCCAGTGCAGTGCCAACCCAAAAATGCACAAAGAGCCGGAGTCTCGGGTTTGCCTTCGAGGGCGAGGGCGAGGACAGATCTGTCTGCGGCCTTGCCTTACGATGCTGCTGGTGCTCGTGTTGATGCTGATGCTAGTGGCACTTTGAGGACGGTGAGCAGTCTGTGAGCAGCATTGAGGCGCCTCCAGTCCGAGGTACGTCCGGTCATGCAAATCTTCACCATGGTGATGATTTCTCGTGCTCACAACCTCTTTCGGACTTCTTCTTCACATCTTAGTCCGTTCTATGTGTACAGTCAGCCTCTCACTGCCCACTGTTTGCCCCGTGAATCTGAAAAGTCATTGGTCGGCTGTTGCGCAGGCATGACAAGGCCAGGCCACCTTACGAGGAATAAGAGGCACGGAGGCGCATAAACAGATGGGCCATCGTTGAAAAGTGAACTGTGAATTCGTGGAGCTCCCTCTTTCCCTTCTTAGTTACCCGAGCGCGGCCCTCACCCGCCCATCCAGTTCAGGGATCTCTTGTTCGTCCTGCTGCTGCATCTGCAGCTTGCAGTCGTTAGGTGCAGGAGAATGGTGGTGCAGCCTGTACGTAGTAGGTGTGCCGCCAGGCTTCTCCTCTGACAGACTCAGACTCTGCAACCCTGGGAGGGCATCTTTGGGAGTCTTGGCCTATTGTGCCGCTCTCGGCTTTCGCGCAATGTGGCTCGATTCCACGACACTGGACCTCTTCATTCGTTATTTCCGACCCCATTTGTATCCACCCGACACTGCTGGAGCCAATCCGGGTCCGAATCTTGTCCCAGCCCTTCTCGTCATCCCTGCTCGCCACCATCGCGGGCTCAGATGTGTGCCAAGAGGCTTGCCAAGCCAAAGTTGCCGGGATTTGAGGAACGCTGCCAATCAACTTCATCACTCAGTCAGAGGGGCCTGTCACTTGGGTCGCAACTACAGTGCGAGAGGGGTGACTGCGCTTCCAAGGGCAAGGGACGAGGTGTGCTCCCAGGTATCATAGAGGCAATGCTCTGGGTTCGTATAAAAGTAGAGTATCCACAAGGAAAGCAAGTACACACCAGTCTAACTGTACAATCACAGTCATCTGGTTAGTTGTTAGTATCCATAGGCGTCAAGGTTGGGCAAGGTTACCCCAAAAGATTGTGCACAACTGTTGCTGTAAGAGATGCCCTTCATTGTGAGACATTCTGCGTGCGTTGCGAGACCTGGCCTGTAGCGATTCTCAAGGTACGGCTCCCACTGGATGGATGGCTATGCTTCGAACCCTTCGAAACATCCCACTTGTGCTTCTGCCGCCGCCGACAAAAGAAGACGAGACGTTTTTGCCGCATTTTGGTGCGGGTCACAGCTGCCAAAACACTCTATGCTTGTCATGGCCCTCAGCAACAGCGGTCCTCTGCATTCAACCTCCCACCTTGGGTGGCATGTCGTACCGCCGTGCGACGCGCCCAGCCGGCATATCGAGAAGCTCAGGTAGCCGTCGAGATCCAGATGCTAGCCGCATGTATCCGTACAATGTGGTCCCGGCTGTAAACAACAAAATACCCAAGTGTCCTTCTGTCTACATTAACAGCGCAAATGACAGAGCTGGCTTGCCCATATTGAACCTCAGAAGCAAAGCCGGAGTCAAAGTGGTCTCTGATATGCCAGCACGGCGCGTCGTCGCCCTGGCTGGGCTGGATGGGGACGGTGGGCCAAGTCGAACGATGGCGTCGGATGCGGGCGCTACCCAAAGGTGCTGTCTCTCAACCGCTCGAGGTCCGTAGACATCGGATGGCCAACCTTGCCCTAGGTATTTGCCTTTTTTCGAAGCTCCAGCAGCCTTGACCGCCAAAGGAACTCGGACAATTTGGTGAATGGCTCGTGGCAGCAACCGTCCCATCGGTATTGCCAGAGAGAGAGAGACCAAAAAAGCCAAACGCAAGCTTTGGAAGTGCTGTCTAAGTCTTTGCTTCGGGTCAGGCTTGCCTCCGGTCTGCATCGGCCAAAGTTTAGAGGCAAGCAACAAATTTTTGTTCGGCCCCAGAAAAACGCCGTAGTACCCGAACAACCGTTTCCGGTCTTTTTGGTGAATGGGGTTTCAGCAACTGACGACCCAGCGCCGCAGACATTGCATTTGCGTCATTGTCGAGGATGCCCGTCAAATGTAGACTAGGAATAAAGTTCCTTGACACGGATGGCGGGTCATCAAATAGACATGGGCTGTGACAGCAAGTTTGAGTCGTGAGTCGTAAGTGTGACAGCGTTTATCTCTGTAAAACGGGCTTCCCGGTCGTAGGTAGGTGTCTGTATCTGTACGCCGGTCCGTACGTATACTTGGGGGAAACTTGGAGCTTGGTGCTTAGATCTCGACTTGGTGCAAAACGAAAAATAAGCATACAAGGGAAGCATCGGGCTTCCGAGGTAGACTGAATCAGTCGAAGCGCTAGCCAAGGACCTTTCCGAGTGATCAGCATCTACCGAGTTCCCATGGGATCCACCGAGGAGATTTAATGCCGTTGGCATTGGCGGATGAGTGGTCGAATTGAGAGTGGTCAAGGTCAGGGCAGACGGGGGACTGTGGAGGATGGCAGGATGGGCAGGTGGATAAAACCCATCCTCCAAGTAGTCCAGATTGTAGGGGATTCGTACACTGTGTGTCCACTACTCCGTACTCTCGCAGGCTCGTACGAAAGATTCGGAATGAAAATCCAGGCCCGGCAGGCAGTTGCTCCTAGCCTCCAACCTGGTCGAGCGATCGAATCCTCGACGTACCGTGGGCAATGGAGTTCGAAGCAATGGCCGGAGTTGATCATTCCCATGTCCCGTCCATCGAATGAATAGGGATTTAGGAAGCCCCAAGGCTTGGCAGTCGTGAACTTGTGCGGCGTCATTGAATGGGGGCCAGACCATAGATGGAAGGGCTGAAGGCAGACGGTCGCAGAAGATGCGTTTCCGTATCTGTACAGGTTCAGTACAAAGTGGATAATGCGTTGCACAATTGCTGCCAAGACCTGCAATTGCGACCCGAGGCCGGCCGGCCGATCGACCGACAGCGAAACGCTTGTGTCTGTGTCTCAAGTAGGGTTTAATGAAGGCAAAAGATAGCCGTAGTCTTGAGCCTGTTCGCGATGGGAAATGCAGCGGCTACTACCTACTGTGTAAGGTAGGTGCTGAAGCGAGTGAGCGACGAAGGCCAACGACGTACGGATAAGGGACGCATAGGTATTCTGAGGCTGGCATTGTCTGGTATCCACGATTGACGAATACCTTGCTTGGCCTTGGGCGGGGACAGAGTGGATGCGTCGGGACCGAATGGTAGAGTTGCCAAGAGATGACGGATTCATCCCGTCTTTCTCGGGCTTTGACCGGGCGGCGCTTTGAAGAGGAAGTTGAAATGAAATGCATTGCGGTACAGCCGCAAAACCCTACGATTAATGTTCCCGATACCCACGATGTCGGGTATCGGGGGGGTGGTTGAGATTATGGTGTGGTGTAGTGTGGTGTGGAGGGAAAGTTCCCATTTGTGCAAGCACTCTTTTTTGTTCTTCGGCAAGATGTATTTTTGAGCATCTGAGCCGCACAGAAAATAGGAAGCAATCTGGGCGGAACGGTAGGCGAAAATGCAGAGACCAAGCCATCGTGCCATCCAACGACGCGAGGTGCAAAGAGGTGGTAGCGAGGGATACTGGTAGGTAAGCAGGTGGCAGGCACGTACTGTAAGAAACGTGAAGCGACAAGCCTGGAGGCTAAATTGCTTTGCCACTTCCAGTGCCATAGACGCGGAACCTAGGCGAGGGAAGGGAGGATGGGGGGAAGAGGAGGATACGCAGTAGGTAGGGGGGTACGCTTTGTCCATCGTGTCCAGGACCATAGCTTCGGGAGCTGAGTGAGATGAGGTGAGTGGTCAAAGAGAATGAGGAGGTGTCTTGGGTTGGTTATGCAATCCACAGCATCGGGTAACTGCCATCCCAAAGAGACGAGAAACAGTACGAGCCCACATTTCATCCGTTCGACTTGTGCTTATTGGTGAGGCGCATATGCGACGTTTGGAGCCCGAAGAGTCTGAGCCTGGGTTTGAGTCTGAGGTGAGTCTGAGTCTGGAGTCTTGCGTCTGGACCAGAGAGTTTTGAGTGGATGAGTGGGTGAGTGGGTGAGTGAAGCTCGGGGATGAGAGTGACTGACTGAGTGAATGGGTAAAGACCTGCCTATCAGAGTGTGCGGAAGGAACGCCGTTCAAGCAGCCCTGAACCTGGCTGAAGCCCTGGCTGAGATTCTGGGAATGAGAGTGAGAGAGAGGAACTCAAGGGGAAAAGAGACGAAGAGGGTCAAGCCAAAAATTGGGGCAGCAGCCCAGCGGTCCGTTAGTCCCCGGCAGAGACTCCAGTGGGTGAGGGTGCTGGCCATGGCCTTGGGAGCCCTGCGTTGGTCGTTGTTGGCTGCGTTGGCTCGAGCCTGCAAGCTCCCTGGAATCTCGTTGCCATCTCCATTGTTTTTCCTACGTGCCTACCTGTCCAGGATGGCGACAATGGGCCATTTCAGAATTGAGACTGGCACAATGGAGTCGCCTTTACGGGAATCGTCGCTCACCCGGCGGCCTGAGCGTCTTTCTTCCTTACGGATACACAGTATTGAGTATAGCCGACCGCGGGTTGCGGGCGATGGGGTTTCTGAGCCCACTGCGAGCACGACCTCCCGTCTGGGAGAGCCTGGAGAGCCCACTGAGCCACTCTGTCACTGCAACAGCGGGCAACAATTCCGCCCGCGGGACCGCGCCAGGCTAACCTGACTAAGCGCAAGTGGCAGGCTGGAAGTAACCTCTGACGGAGCACGCAGTCTCACTCATCTCATTCCCTCCTGCCCTTGTCCTTGACCTCCGTGTCCATACTACGTACCTTCTGTTCTCGACACTTGGCCCCCCTAGGCAGTGTCTGATGTCTCCCTATCCACCTGGGTCCACCTGTCAATGCCTGCCCCAGTCCTCGTCATTCCCATCCATCTCATGGCCAATCATGACCACTTTCTAGCCCCATTTCCCTTCTCCCACTGCTGCTTCCTGCCCTGCGCCCGGCTCAATCTGAGATTCTTCTGCCCTCACTTCACAAAATGGAAGTGACAGACTGCGACGTGACTGGGCGCCCACTATCCAGTTGGGAGGACAGTGCCGATACTGTACCTGCGTCCCTTCCCTTGCAACCCTCCTTCCTTCCCACCCCACGTAAGCGAGGGCCAATCGAGACCCACTTCATGGTCCGATTCACAATTCTCCCGCGGAACCTGTACAAAGTCTTTCCGGCCCGCTTCCGGCGGCCGACCCTAAATCATTCAACGTGATTCGACGTTGTATCGTCGACTATCACAAGGGTGTTTCCATTGATCATTTGACAGCCATCGACTCTAAATTCTCGTGATAACTTTTGTTAGGAAACAACCATCTCACGTAGCTCGCAGCCGACTAGGTACTGCATCATGTCACAACGGTCATGCTAGCTTCGGCATCGCCTAGGTGGCTCCTGAACTCAAACCCCCAGAAACCCGTTCGTTCTCACACCAACCCTCGGATATTGACTGACCTACCTGACCGGCCCCAATATGCCGCTCTGGTCGCGTCCATACATCTGCGGTCCGCCCAGACGTCAATCAAGCAAACCTGTCAAAGTAACCAACAGGGACGCCACGCGACCCTTTTCAACGCCATGACTGGGTATGCTCCCGTGGAAAGGGATCTGGCCGCCCACGGGAAGGAGGAGCCAAACCAACGGCCTTGAGAATTTCGACAATGACTCCCTACCTGGCAAACATCAGCAAGTCTCCTCTTGATTTCGCTCGTCATCCTGGCAAGCTGGAGGCAGCAAATACTAGAATACTTGCACGGCAATTTGCGAACCGCGAGTCAAGGACAGGCAGCAAGCGGCACAGCCGACAACGCCTTCCTCCATGAAGATGGTCCCCGTTTTCTCTCTCGAGCGACAACGCAAGGCTAGCTTCTCTCATTCGAGCTGCGAGGCACGCCCGCCAGCCTGTCATTCTGTGCTGGGCGGGGTTAGTGCCAACGACATTGCAACGTAAGGCACTCTTGTCCGTGTGGTCAATAGGCACATGGAAGCCAAGGCTCTTCCTAGGCTCCTCCCCTCTCCAGTGTGAGGACGACCCGGCCAGTCACGAAACCACGGATGCAAATCGATAACACTTTCTGTGCCGGTGGTGACTGAGCACTTGATACCCACCAAGAAAACGCAACGGCACACTACACATCTACGACCATCCCAGATCTGACCCCGCCGCATCGCCTGGCAACGCCATCTCGATTGCCCGTCGTCTCTAGCCGCTCGCTCGGCTTCTACACTTGCCAGTGAGATAGATGGCCAGTGTCGTGTAACACGACACAAAGAAGTCCAAGGAGGGGAGGGGGTTACTGCTGAAGTCTATGGGCTGAAAAAAGCTGTCGGGTTGTCTCCCAAATATGATGCCTGCTGTCCTTCCCCCGTCTGCATCGGACGACCTCGCCCTAAAGGCTAGGTCAACACTTTCTCGCTGCCAATCTATCCAGCTCCAACCATCTTGCAGCTTCGTATTTCTTGCCAGCATGCTGGGGGAAAGGGGATGGGTAGGGTTGGCTGTCCTGCCTCATCGAAGCCTCAGATTGTCTTGTCACGGTGGCACAGCATGGTGCGAAATCACCCACACCCTGGTTGAGCAACCATACACGAGGGCAAGCAAACAAATGTCCCAGCTTTTAAGATCAATACTTCACCGAATCTCCATTGCATGATGCACGTGCTCCCACCGCTGCTAACGAGACTTGTCCTTTTTTACATCATGGATGCGTAGAATGGTATACATATGTCCTCGCAGATTCGGCGCTTGCAGTTGCAGGTCTTCACCGTTTGTTCTTGAATCCCTGTTTCTCCTTCCACCTCAGTACCACAATTGAGGCTGAATGCACCCAAGTAGACGTAAATAATTCAGTGGATGTGGAAGAGACTACACCATGCCATGTCGATGTACGCTGGCTGCACGAACCCGTTTGTCTACCCAAGCAAGGATTCCCCGAGACTCGTTCCCGAGCACCGTCCGTTTCTCTTTGGACCAACTTGTTCTGAAACCACCCCAAAAGGACCACTAGGCCCTAGGTTCAAGCTTGTGTCTTCTTTCTCGATTAACGATTGACTTTCCGCTTCTTCTAATTGCACTGCCTTTTTTTCCCGCGTCCAGAAACGCACACAAGCACACGCACCTACCTCACACAATACAAGGTAAACCCAGAGAGAGCCGCAGAAGTACTAGAAACATTTCTCTCTCTCTCTCTCTCTCTCTCTCGCGACGCCTCACTTGAACATGACACCGGCGCTAACTCGGCGCTGAGTAAAACAAAGCTGGGAACCCAGGAACCCAAGAAATCGTGAACCACGATACTGAAAGGAGCGAGAAAGCCGCCGCCCGCAAGATACCCCAATGACTTGCATATACTTCAGCCTAGTTTACTTGCCTGAACCATCCCTCCAGGTAATATTGGCTTGTTCCTCAAAGCTCGTTGTAATCCGTTCATGTCTTGAATTCAGTCTGTTTTCTTGTCCCCCTCCCGCAGGTCATGACATACAAGAAAAAGGCGGCATCATGTAGCACCAACTGCACAGCAAGGAGTGAGTGAGAAGGTGAAGGGGGAAAGTAGTAACTGCCTAAAGGACCCGCGCTCTCGACCGTCCGAGATCGCTTTTCGGGCGTGATACTAGATACTATGTACCCAGGTGTGCGGTCAAGGCATTGTCATCATCCATCCATCCCCATCATTCGGTTCGTTCTCGCGTGCTGCTGGGCAGAATTCGGCGCAATGTGAGTTTTGCCTGGTACGCGGTATCCCACTTGATCGGTAACAAAAAGGATAGGGTCCATCAGCGGCTCTGCGAAGGTTGTTGGCTGTTTGGGATTATTGCATCTAGGTTCTTGCCTGTCTTTTGGATGTGAAGCCCAAAACGTCGGTCGAACCTATTGAGCGCGAAGAGGCGAGGGAAGGTTAACCTTGCTAACCACCACTTCTTTTTTTTTTTTCCCCATTCGGGTGGTTTTAACTACGTCTTTTTACCCGTCGGGAATCGTCTCAAGACTCATTCTCTGGGGGGAGAAAAAACCTTCTTCGTAGTTTATTGGTAGAGACGAGGGGAGGGGAAGGGGAAGGGGGGAGAGAGTTTTTTTCCAAAACCTTGGTAACCTTTCCGACTAAGAGATGACCAATGTTGGAGTTTATGAACGGGGTTCGGGGAAAGGCCTCAGCTCCTTCTTTCTGCAATGGTTGTCATCAGCTTCACCTTTCACTTGCGTTGAAGAAGACTTACTCGCCGTCAGATACTTGTTGGGGGGATGGAGTGACGTATAGGGAAGATTTGGGGTGAAGAGAGGCACACTACATATTTCATGGACTTTGCCGTGCTTGCTGTACGACGCCAGCGCATGAGACCCTTTCCTACCCCCTCAAAGGTCTTCTGGTCAATGATCACTGGTGACGTGACGCTTTGACATGGGGTCCGAGTAAGGAGGTCGAAGTAACCTTTCAGCCATACGATAACGAGACGTAACCGAGAGTGAGAGAGATGGTGTACCCGGAGAGACCTTAGGCATGTAGAAGGAAAGGTTGTCAAGAAGTGTGACTAGCAATGGCTGTGAGATCCGCCTTGAAGCTTACCTGTGGTGGGATGGGATGGGATTGGAAGCAAAACAAGGTCGGAGATTGATTGGAATGTCTATCTCGTCGAATTCCCGCCCTGCAGCGGGCACCGGTGAGATGGCACGATGCGAAAAGACACCACGACCCCTCGCTTAGAGGACTGTGGTTTGCCACGTGGGGAATTTTGAAAAGTCCGAGGGGTCTGGATTGGACTGGGCGACTGGGGAAGGGGGCACTAGTTTGTTTGCTTTTTTTGCATTCCTGACGCGATGATGGAAGAAGTTCGTTTTCCGATGTTTGCGGGCGGCGGGCAGTCCCGCCCTTTTGTGAGGTGCGGTTCGTGATGGTTGCTTTTTGAGGGGGTGGGGGGGGGGGCGAATAGTCTTGGAGGGGGGATGAGTTCATGTATGTCTTGGATGCGGATTACGGTTGGCCGGACGAGACCTGGTGTCCGAGGACGCCGAACGGATAGTTGCTTTCTTGTCTTGAATGCTGGGTTCGAGGGGGAGCGATTTGATGTGACGGCTATCAGAGAAAGAGTTTGTCTGATGACGATGATGGACTGCGACTTCCTAGGATG